CTGAAGATGGCTACGGAATACGTATTAAGCGTGGCAGCTATTAATAAATATGGAGTTGGAGAGGCTGTCGAAACTCCTGCGGTTCGCCATTTTTCTCCTCATTTTCTATAATTTGCCGAGAACAAGTTTTTGTGGAGAGTAAAGGCTCTTGCTTCTAATGAACACCACTATTTTATAGATTACTACCGCTAGCCCCTTCAAAGCTCCGCAGATCGCTCAGCCACCCATCATTTTCGACGTCAGTAGTGATAGCTGTATGCTGAAATGGGATAAGCCCAAGGAAGATGGAGGGTCACCCATCTGTGGTTACAATGTTTTCCTCAGAGAGAATGCCGGAGAGTGGACAAAGGTTAATAATCTCTGCAGACACCTCAGCCATCATTACAATCCTCGAACAATACTTTTAAGGTCAACAGTGAGCTCATCTCCGGTACTCTTTTTTCAATGGAAGATCTTCGCCAAGGCGTAGCCTTCGAGTTCAAAGTAGAGGCTGTCAACGAAGCAGGACTATCGTCGGACTCTAACTTGCCATCGAAGCCGCTAATCATTACACCAACCTCAGGTAGGAGTAATAATAGCTGGATTGCCAGAACAAGGCATTCCTATATTAAGCGAGGGTGCTGCGCTGTAGGCTTGTTGTTCAACTTTTTGTGTTGTGTAAATTTACGTCTGAGTTAGGCACACACTATAAGGGAAAAATCGTCCTTCACTGAGTACTCAAGTTACCGTCATCACACAAGTTAATTAACTCGGGATTTCTCTGTAATATTGTAGCAATACAAAGTTCCATTTTAAGTTTCGACAAAGTAGTTGTTGGCATGCATCCAACTAACTTCTTCTAGCTGACTAGTTTCTTCCACTTAACAACTAGGTCAATTTTGAGTTACATCAATGATATTCACTTGATATTCTCATTCTATTCCATCGTTTCATTCTTTCATGGAAGATAACAAGCACAGCCATTTGAAGGCACAGTTCACGGTAATTTTCAGGTATCCGTCTTTATTCGAAAAGCGGAAGTATTTATTGGTAGTGAAGAAAGCGAGAGAATTCGCCGATTTCGAGAAAAATATGGCGC